CTTACCGTCAAGATGGTACTATTGCATGTTTTGCCACAGCATTCTGCATTTGGAAAGAGACTTGTTCTTCCGAATGTGACTCGTATATTTGTTGGCCCATCGGCCATTCATTGTCCACCATTGTTTGCAAGGATGCAAACTGTGTTGTTGTCCGTGGAAGTGTGGGCGCATCGCTCAAAAATTTATTACTACTTATTTCATTCCGTATATTCTAGTCGTTTTCTGTTGTTTTTTTTTGAAAAGTTTCTAATTTTCGTGCTTTTTTAAAGATGTCTATGCACTGCAAAAACGCATGCTGTTGAGGGTTTGTTCATGTGTGTATGCGTGTGCGTGTGGTGTGTATTTCTGTGTGTACTATCTCTCCGGGCTTTTCAATCTCAATGCCTGAAAAGTTATAAAGCTGAAAACTTTGAGCTTACACCTATGCACGGACCCAAGCTGTAAAATGGATATGTTCGCGCCCCTCCGTTTCTCATGCCGGGGCTTGTGGAAAATTTTTGGAGGCGAAAGCGATTTCGGGAATCAGACAAGCCAGAAGGCTGAAACTTTACAAAGATGTCCCTTGCCCACGTGTGATACAATGATTTCGAATTCAGCTTTCATACGCCCCCAAATTTCAAGTACTTGCCGTCAGAGTTTAAATTGGCGCCACAGCAACATGGGGACTAGACTGGCTCGTAAGCCATAGAGAGAAAACCGTAAATTTCTTTTACGACGCTGTTTACTTTTCACCGTGTGCTCGTGAAAATAAGTTGAGTTTTCGCATCCTTGTTTATCTCGCATACGAGCACGTGAATTTGACGTCTACAGTTTTGAAACTGTTGAATTAAAGCAGCCATAGTGCTGAAATTTTCTGAGCATGGCCTACGATCGTATCTGTGGAGGATCTTTGTAATAATAATCTGTGACATTTTGGCAGATTCATCCCCTATTACTTCCGACGTGTATTTTTAAATTAAATCAAGTTTTTAGTCGAAAAAATACTTTTTTTTTAAAGGGACTTTTTGCCGTTTTCCATGAATCGATTCTTGTGTGATTGCTCTTGTGTCTTTTTTAAGCTGTGATTTTTTTTTATGTTGCTCAGTATTTTGTGGATAAAAACTCGTAACTTCCTTTCTTTTGCAGTTTTTACAAGGCGCTTCTTACCTTTCGACTCTCAGTAATATCGCATACTGTATTCAAT